CCGCCTGCAGCCTCCCCACCCTCACCGCGGAGCCCTGCGCCCTGGGCCCGAGCCCGGCTCGGGACTCCCCAGCAGCCAGGAGAAGGAGCCGGCCCTGGTCGAGGGGGGCCCAGGGGACGGCGCCGGGAGCTGGAAGCAACCAAAGCTCAGGGAGATGGAGGACAAAGCCCTGGAGTCAGGATTCCCGATGTGAGTCCCACAGGCCAGCGCGTCTACCATGGAGAAATGAGCAGGAACGCTGTCACGGGGGAAAAGAAAAAAAATTCCTCGGCACAACGTTCCCGACCTTTTCCTCAGGAATGCAGCTTTCCATGTTCTGGAAACGTCTTCATACTAAGCCCCTGATCGACTGCTGTGCAACAGAACGTTAACGAATACCTCGACGTGGATAGAATTGGAGAACATGTGGAGTCACATGAGTCAATGACAAATACTAGTGCAGACCGCTATTATAAAAATAATTTTTTAAGGCTGTGACACGAACACACACACACACACCAACTTTGATGGTGACCAGGGAGGGGAAGGGAATGTCAGGCCACAGAAAGTATTAGCTTGGGTGAAGGGGAGATGGGGTGGGGAGGATGGAAACAGTGCAAGCCATAGGGAGGTTCGGTTACTTGTTGATTATAAAAATGATGATTTCATATCTGTAACTATCTCATCTGTAAATCCTCACCTAATGCACAATAAAAATCGTTTTTAAAAATTGTAATGGCCTCATAGTGTCTGGGGTCTTACAGGCTTGAAGTTCAGCGACCATCTACTAAGAAAGCAACAAAGCCCACATGGAAGAAGCACACCAGCCTGTGTGATCATGAAATGTCAACAGGATCAGGTATCAGAAGTTCAAAAACAATCCCAACGATGTGAAGGAGAAGGATCAGAGTGGAGACCTAAAGCCCACCTGTTGATAATTGGACATTCCCTCACAGAAGTGTCACATGGAAGGGACGATTCACCCAGGGTGTGCAGTATAGCACTGATGGAACTCACAACACTCCTCTAGTTCTTTGATGCCTGCTCCCCCGATTACCATGACCTAAGTTGTACCTCGCAAATCTGGCTAGACCAGAATATGTACATTAGTACAGATAAGAGCTTTTGACACATGAAATCCAGGACAGATAAACCCCTCAGAAACAGTAACAGGAGTAGCAATACCATGAGGGGAGGGGGAAGGGGGCTGGAGAAGAGGAGGAAGGGGGAACTGATAGCAATGATGGATATATAAACCCCTCCTACCCCAGGAGGACGAATGACAGAAATTTGGGTGAAGAGACATATCAGATGGTCCAGGGATACATATGGTAGCCAACTAAAAAGGAGGAGGAAAAAAAGACATGGGTAGCGGGGTAACAGGGCACTAACCCACCCATGGATACGGTATTGTTTATATCTCCACAGGGAAAGAGGGACCAGACTCCAACCCCAACCCGGTGCTTCAAGATGTGAATGCAACATACCAGCATGAAGCAGGGAACCAATAGAGAAGTCTGAGGGGCCGGCCCCAATCCCAACTACTTGGACAGCCCCCACTCCCAGCAGAAGTATGTTTGGTGCCAGTGTGTTCTAGGCCCCGTTGTAGATGCTAAGGGACAGGATACAACAACAAACAGTACAAAGACCTTTTTTCATTGAGGTTATATTACAGTAAATGTAAATTGATTGTACACTAAACATTTTTTGGTACATGTTACTATCTTGGAAAATGTGTCCCATGGGTCATCGATTTTGAAAATGCCTTTCTTTGCATTTGTAGGATTTTGTAGAATTTATGTAATTAAGATTCACTTTCATCTACAGGATATGCAGAGGTCTAAGAACTATTCTTGTCTTACCATAGTGAATGATGGGGGGAGTGCAGAGTGGAGATCCAAAGCCCATTAATAGGCCACTGGAGATCCCCTTGCAGAGGGGTCTC